GGAGAGCCCGATGCGGGACTCGATCCCAGGACCCTGGGATCATGACCTGAGCCGAAGGCAGACGCTTAACGACTGAGCCACCCAGGCGCCCTTCAGGTTAACATTTTACAATTTTTAACTCCTTTTCTCCCAATTCCTATTTTTTCATGAACATGAAAATAAAAAACTATCCTTATTTGTATATATAAATAGGTGAATATGAATCACCTATATGTAGTATCTTAAGGAATCTGTTTATTCCTATGATGGTTTAATTTCAGCTCAACATACACAGAAGACACTAACCCAGATCTGTTATATATTTAGGGATAAAAATTAATTTTAAGAGGAGTAAGAAAAAGCTAAGCAGGTAAAATCACTCAAAAATTATGATGTATTTCAGACTTTTTTTAAAATTTTTATTTCAGACTTTTTAATCATTTGCTATTTACAAAAATGTTTGCTCCTCTGTTCCCATTTCATTAGTCTTGATATATTCAAGACTTGCGCATAGCTCTTAAATCATCTTTTACTTTGTCTTTTCCACTTAAAAACCTTTTGTTTTTAAGGAAACATATACAAACTCTTCTTATGGAATTACAATGTATAATACTCACCATTCGATGCTGATGAACATGGAGTCAACAAACTAAGTGGGGAAAAATGTTGTCTGTTAAAGTTAGCAGCTGTGGGTGCTCCTCCAAGGGGTGCCCCAGGTCCATACATCTGACCTCCTGAAAGGTTTGAGGCAAAGTTTCCCAAATGTGTAGAAGAAGGTGTTACAGAACCATATGGTGAGTCCATATTGACAATACCTATAATTAGAAGATAATTTATAATTGTTACCTGTAGAAAAAAATTTTAAAAAAACCCTAAAATTCCAAGAGGTCCCTAATACCCCCAAATATTTTAGATGGCTAAAAAATTTCTCCTTGCTTATTCTTCCAGTCTATTGACTAGTCATTTCCCCCTCTATAAAGATAACTATAAAAAAAGAACAATTATCAAGGAAAATTATTTTTATATTTAATTTTAATCTGATATTTTAATTAGTTATTATAGAATACATGTAGATTTCATATCAACACTGGAATTTAAATAGGCTTAATGGCCAAAGAATTACATAAAAAATATATCTTTAAAAAAACTCAGGGGGAAGGAAGGAATGATTAGGCAAAGCACAATTTTTAAGACACTGCAAATACTCTGTATGATACTATACTGGTAGATGCATGTCATTGGATATTTGTTCAAACCCACAGAATGTACAACACCAAGAGTAAACACTAATGTAAACTAAAGACTCTGGATGATAATGATACATTAATGTAGGTTCATCAGTTCTAACAAATGTACCACTCTTGGTGGGGAATGTTGATAATGGAAGAGGCTATGCCTGTTAGGGGAAGGAGGTATTTGGGAAATCTCTGTACTTTTCTCTCAACCTCCTCTGTACTCTTCTGTGAACCTAAATGTGCTATTAAAAAAATAAAGTCTTAAAAACAACTAGAGGGAAAAAAACATGGCTATACTTATATGATAAACATATCTGATGATCAGCACTTTAATTAAGTGGCCATTCTTTGCAATAGCTAATAGTGAAACCATCTTCATTGAATGCCTCCTGATGTAATGCAGTGTGAGGTTCAAAACATCACCCATCTGATGCTTCTGCCAAAAGTGTTTGACCTGAATGTAATCACAGACTTAGGAAATAGATGAATCTAATCTAAAATGTGGGACATTCTCCAGAACAACTAGACTCTTCAAAGGATTTAATGTCAAGAAAAACAAAGGAAGCTGGTGAGATATTTTAGACTGGGGGAGACCTCAGAGACATAACAGCCAAAGCAATGTGTACAACCTGACTGAATCTTGAATCAGAAAAAAAAGGAACATACAGACATAATGGATATATCTGGGATGATGGTACTGAATATTGGGTGGTATTGCTGAATTAATGTTAATTTTCTTGAGTGTAGTAATAGTGATGGAGCTGTAAAGGCAAATATGCCTGTTCTGTTTACCTGAATCAAGTAGTATTCCCCTCCAATGGGCTCTACAATTAAACTTCAATGCTAATTTTGGCTCTAACCAACTGTACACCCCCCAAACCTCACCTCTCTTATAGAGCTGGCCTTTTATCTATACCTTTCCACAAAATAAGAATTTACTTCTTTTTTTCTCTAAATCTTAATTTTAGTCTTTCTCAACATAGTACCTAGATTTCCTGAAAAGTGAAGTATTTTCAATAAATTTCAACTATCATAAAAATGAAATATAAAAACATTTCCAGTGCATTAGCATATAATGTTCTTTTAAAATTGTATTTATTCTAAGAGAACTTATGTTATTTTGAAAGTACACATAAATATTTCATTCAGCCCCCAGCAAAGAAATATTTACTGGCCATGTTCATTACATTGTATTCACATGCCATAGAAATAGGCAAAAATAATACCCAGTCCACATTAAATTTAGAAATTTTTAGTCCCAGAATGTCACCTCTTCAATAACACAGGTTGGCAACCTTTCTGCAAAAGGCTGAATAGCAGTATTTCCAGGCTATCATTACAGCATGAAAGTAGCTGTAACACAATATGTAAATGACTGGGCATGGCTGTGTCCCAATAAAACTTTATTTACGAACACTGAACTTTTAATTTCCTATTTTTTTGTCACGTATTATTATTTAAAAAAATTTTTTAAGTCATTAAAAAATCTTACACTATTATTGAATCTCAATTTTAAAAAGCTACAAATGTAAAAACAGGCAGCAGGCCATATTTGGCCCATGGGCGATAGTTTGTCTATCTCTGGCATGACTTATCTTTAATTACTTGAAATGTTCATACTAAAACGCATAGCTCTAGATGCAACTTGGTATCCTGGATTGGACACTGCAACAGAAAAAGAACATCACTGGGAAAACTGGTGAAATCTGAATAAAGTCTGTAGTCTAGTTAATTATACTGTACCAGTATTAATTTCCTAGTTTTAATAAATAAAGGATTATATAAAATATTTACATTAGCGGAAGTTGGGGTAATTATAGAAAAACTCTTCCATAAATCTAAAAACATTTCAAAGTAGAAAATTAAAAAAAAAAAGCAATCACTCAAAACCAGGAGATCTTTAAATCCTCTATAAATATCAGCATTGTCCAATAGAACTTTTTAAGATAATGGATATATTTGATATCTGTACTGTCCATCATGGTAGCTACTAGCCATATGTGCTTATTAAGCACTTAGAGCCACTTTGGAAACAGTATGGAGATTCCTCAAAAAATTAAAAACAGAGGGGCACCTGGGTGGCTCAGTCATTAAGCGTCTGCCTTCGGCTCAGGTCATGATCCCAGGGTCCTGGGATCGAGCCCCACATAGGGCTCCCTGCTCGGCGGGAAGCCTGCTTCTCCCTCTCCCACTCCCCCTGCTTGTGTTCCCTCTCTCGCTGTGTCTCTCTCTGTCAAATAAATAAATAAAATCTTTAAAAAAAAAAAAATTTAAAAATAGAACTGGTAATATATGATCCAGCAATTCCACTTCTGGAAATATATCCAAAGGAAACAAAAGCACTAACTCAAAAAGATATCTGCATTCCCATGTTCATAGCAGCATTATTACAAGAGCTAAGACATGGAAACAACTGAAGTGTCCATCAATAGATGAATGAATGTCCATCAACAGATGCACATGCACACGTGTGTGCACACTCACACACACAGGAGTATTACTCAGCCATAAAAAGGAACGAAATCCTGCCATTTGCAACAACATGGATGGACCTTGAAGGCATTATGGCAAGTGAAGTAAGTCAGGCAGAGAAAGACAAATACTGTATGATCTCACGTATGTGGAATCTAAGAACAAAGAAACCAATTCAAAGAAAAAGATCAGATTTGTGGTTACCAGAGGTGCGGAGCAGGAAGAAGGGAAACTGGAGGAAGGTGATCAAAAGATATAAACTTCCAGTTACAGGATAAAGAAGTACTAAGGATGTAATGTACAACATGATAATGTACAACATGCTGCATGGTATGTATGAAAGTTGTTAAGAGAGAGTAAAATCCTAAGAGTTCTCGTCACAAGGAAAAATAATATTTTTCCTTTTTTCTTATTGTATCTATATGGTGATGGATGGTAATTAAACTTATTACGGTAATCATTTCACAAAATATGTAAGTCGAATCATTATGCTGTACACCTTAAACCTATAGTGATGTCAGTTTTATTGTAATAAAACTGGAAAACAAATTTCAAAAAATATGGCCAGCTTGACTGAGAGGATATTTCTAATTTTATTTAATTTAAATAGTGCATATGATTAGTAGCTACCTTATTAAAACTATGTGGCTCTATATTTTTCTCAGTATTTTAAAAAAAGAAATGAAATCAAATTTTTAAGAGCTTTATTATTTTTTAAATAAACTTTTCATGGCATTATCTTATTAAATTTAAACATAAGAGACGGTTTTATTTGAGAGAGAAAAATATACCTGATAATGAAATTTATTTATGGTAAATTCAAGATAAAATCCACTGCGGCTTCTAAAAAGATTTTTTTTTTAAATGCCATACTCAACACATCTAATACTCAAACAGCATTTCAGGTAAATGAATTCAACAATCTCTATCTGGCCCAGTCATCGAGTAAAAATATTAGAGGGGCGCCTAGGCGGCTCAGTCGTTAAGCGTCTGCCTTCCGCTCAGGTCCTGATCTCGGCATCCTGGGATCAAGCCCCGCATCAGGTTCCCTGTTCCGCGGGAAGCCTGTTTCTCCCTCTCCCACTCCCCCTGCTTGTGTTCCCTCTCTCACTGTGTCTCTGTCAAATAAATAAAATCTTTAAAAAAAAAAAAATTAGAAAATGACCAAGAGTTTTCCTATCACTTGCATAAATCACAAGCTGCAGAATGTGAGAAAATATGAACTCACCTGAGGGACTTGGAGCGGGTCTCTGTAATGGTGGTCTAAAACCTGGAGCTTTGGAAGTATCAGACTGATGTAAAGGATCTGAATTTGGCAAATATGAGGATTTTCCTGATAGCATAGATTCTGGGGTTGACTGAGATGAAACAACAGATCCTCCCCAGAAGGCATGAGCAGAAGTAGGGCTGTTTTCAAACAATGTGCTAAAGGGCCCAAATGGTAAGGGGGCACTGAAATTGGGAGCAATAGGCTTATTTGCTGGATGTACTGAATTTTGACAAGCACTTTGTGTACTTAAGGTTGAAGGTAGCTGGACAGAAGAGGGAACACTGTGAGGTCTTTTAATGTGATTGACACTGAGGACTGCAACAGATGAATTTTGCACTGGAGCTGGATTCTTGTGAGGGGCAGTTGTGCCATGAGAGGGTGGTCTAACAGCAGGGGTTTCCATTTTAGGAGCAGGCTGGGAGCATCCCATTTGTGTCTGAGGCATAGGGTAAGTCACTGGGGCAGTAGAAGGCACCGCCACTGGAGCAGAACTTGTTGTTGCTAAAGGAGGAACAGTCATTCTAACTTCCGGGGGAGGAACCTGAGACGGCTGAAGAGGTGGTCTTGGCTCCTGAGAAACAGAACCCGGAGGCTGTTGCTGAGCAGAATGAACTGATGAACTCCCAGAAGAACTGCTGCTGTTTGAAAGTCTACTGTTTGTTGTTTCTACTACTGGTGGACTACCTGCTTCCTGTTCAGAGGAAGATGCCCCTTTATTTGGAGATGCTGTTCCACAATCCAAAGGGCTGTTTCTAGAAACCCCTCCTGACTGGGCTGGTGGTGATGGGGAAGATGGGGATGATACTGGGTAGTGTTCTTTGGCAGTAGGCATAGGATATGTGGCATTTGTGGGTGCAGTGCTGTTGTTGCTTGCTGTGGTTGTGACTGTTGTGGTGGTGGCATTGGATGTCTTCACAACTGTGACAAAAAGCTGCCTTCTGACAGAAGGTGAACTTGGACTGCCATTTGTAGATGTACCAGGCACCGTTGAAGCTGATGAACTGGTTGTAGTTGTTGGACTTGAAGTTAAAGAACCTGCTGAATTCACCTGAGAACCACTGCTATTCTGATTGCTATGGCGAGGCACCATGTGAGGCTTAGGCGAGTTAGTAGCTCTGGCAGGGCTCAAAGGCCTGACAGGAAAAGGACCCCAAGTGGATTGAGCTGGTGGAAAAGTACCTCCAAAGTGGGTCATGGGCAACCTTGGTGGACGGATCTGCTGGAAAGTCTGAGCAGCAAGCAAAGCATGTGCAAACTGTGGAGGAGGATATGCTAATGGAAGAGAAACTGGAAAACCAGGCCTCACATTATTCACTGGGTTTTTAATGGTTTTATGAGTAGATGCAGAAGAAATTGCAGGCACAGTGAGTGCTGTGGCAGTTTGAGATGTTGATGACAGAGCTACAGTCGTCATTTTAATTCCCATTAAGGAACTGTTAGCAGCAGTGGTGGTAGGTGCTGATGACCCTATTTTGGAATTTGCTGAGGAGCTTTTCAAACGATTCTTTGGAATAAGTTCATCAATTTCTTTGTCTGGATCCTTGATCAGAGCATTGATCAACTGAGTTGCCTGTCTTGTTGATTCAGTGCCACCCCTATAAATTGACCAAAAAAAGGAATTAGGTCCAATTTCTCCTACTTTTTAATAGGCGAAGCCTAAATTCATTCGTGAATGTGTACACATACATACAGAGAATAATAAAAGTTAAGCAGCAATTTTCTGACTACTCTTGAGATATTCTGCAAAGCAATAAACTGTCCTGACGTGCCACTTTTCAAAAATGCATTTTAATACTGTTTCCTTACACTAAGAAGTCCTTTTCCTAACTATAAAATACGTTAGTCAGAAAAACCACTGTACTTTTAATCCCTAATGATACTGTAAAGTCAAACAGTTGATCAATGTTAAAAGCAATATAAGTAAACAAAGAACAAAAAAAAATTGAGTAAGAAAACAGTATTTTATTTTAAATCCTGCTACCTAAGATGACCCCATCTATGACTAATCTCTATTAGCAGAACGATTCTTATAATTCCTCTGGAAAGATGTCTCAAAATGAGAGTGGAATCTTGATAATGCTAACAATGGCCAAAAGGTCAAACCCTAATGTTAGATCTTCAGGAAAATATTTGATTGCAAGGAAAGCCTTATGGAAACCCTAAGGGGCAAATTACTCATAAAGGATATCTACTTCCCTCTTCTCTAGATAAGGCAGGTTGTCACTACCCACCTATCCCAGGAGAGGGAAAAACAAGATAGGAGAGGAGGATAAGTGCAAAATAGAAATGGCTAACTGCTTCCTTCGAAGTAGGCTATATAAATATCAGACTCTGCAATGGGGTCCCTGCCTCTCACAACCAAACTTAAGATTTCTTAGAATATCATATCTTTATTTTAAGAGTATTCAGGTATAGACATAGTCAATACAAGACAAATATCCACTTCAGATTTATATCTATGACTGAGCTTATATTCTAAGGATACAATCACAGAATAATAAATCTCAAAAGCCAATAAGGGGAAAAAGGGAAGCCTACTGCTTAAAATGGGTGAGAAACCCCTATTCCCTCTTAAAAAGTCTCAATAAAATTTTAAGAATGTCATATGAACAGTTTATGTAAGGAAAAGATTACCTAAACCTTTGACACACACACACGAAAAATTTCCTTTAAAAGCCCTTTGAAATATTTCATAAGAGCACATGAATTAGAGAAAAAAAATTGTAAAGGTTATCTTCTCTCATACTAATCAAATTTCCATTTTAAAAAGTATGCTATTAAACATAAAGATCCACTGAAAACTCAAAATACTTGTATTTCATTAAGATACAGTGCAATAAAACACAAAGGGAGAAAACATAAGAGACAGAGTTTTGCCTTATAGTTATTATCCGGTCTCCCGTCTTGTCTTTCTGCTTATCAATATCTATGTGTGCACCAGTGAACTCCCGAATAGCATTAATATTACAGCCTCCTCTTCCAATCACTCTGGATATCACAGTTGACGGAACAGATACTTTCTTTGACCTGTTTAAAAGTTGCAAAGATAAATTAAGATTTATCATTAGTATCAGTGGTTATGATTAAAATATGAGGAAAGAGGCTTATACGAAAATACATTTCTGTAAATACAGAACAGATTATTGTTGAGTCAGCCTTTTCTATCTATTCTTACTCTAGGTGATAAAAGGCAACTAAGAGTGACAGAAGAGACAGACAGAGTGAGAGTGCGCGAGCATGTTACCACAGCTTCTTATCTCATTACCAAAGATGGTTTGGTTTTTTTGACTTTCATCTTTCATTAATATCTATAAAGCACGTATTATATAGACATGCACTGTGTTAATGCAAATATTAATGGCAAATAAGATAAACATAGGTTCCTGCCCACATATATTGACTATGTAGACAGCAAGTAGGAAAGCCACAACACCATGCCACGAGTGCTCTAATAGGGTATCATAAAGACACACTGGTTGGGGCACCTAATCCAGACTGAGGAAACAAGAAAGGCTTCTTGTGGGCACTTCCTGGGTGTTTGACTCACATTCTTTTTATTCTCTTAAAATTGAAAGGATGATATTAAAAATGCATTGTTTCCTTTCATTCTTTTAGAGGCATTAAGATGATTATCCATCAACATGGAAACTCACTTAAAGGATGTTTCATCGTGTGAGGAAAGAGAAGAGCCTGCTGGAATTTTAAAAAAGCAAAACCCATCTAACATTTGCAAAATTGCTTTACAATTCTAAACATTCACATTGCAGAAAAGGTACATATACATTTCTGACCAGCCTAAATTAAAGGATGCTCCTAAAAGAAATACAGTATAATTCTCAATAAAGAGAATGAGCCAACTACGCTTTATTGAACAAGTAAATTATTTATTTAGAATCGTAGATTATTTTTTTTTTAAAGATTTTATTTATTTATTTGACAGAGAGAGAGCACAAACAGGGGGAGCTGTAGAGAGAGGGAGAAGCAGGCTCCCCACTGACCAGGGAGTCCGATGTGGGGCTCGATCCCAGGACCCTGGGATCATGACCTGAGCTAAAGACAGACGCTTAACTTACTTAGCCACCCAGGGGCCCCTAGAATGGTAGATTAAATAGTAATTTAAAATATTGTATTTTTTGGGCGCCTGGGTGGCTCAGTTGGTTAAGCGACTGCCTTCGGCTCAGGTCATGATCCTGGAGCCCCGGGATCGAGTCCCACATCGGGCTCCCTGCTCAGCAGGGAGTCTGCTTCTCTCTCTGACCCTCCTCCCTCTCGTGCTCTCTCTCATTCTCTCTCTCGCAAAAAAAAAAAAAAAAATTACTGTATTTTTTAAAAGGTTAGCTATGACCCCTGCCCTTTAATATACATAACTAAGTTACTTGATAATTCCTTTTTCTCTAAAGGGCAAAATAGCGATCATTATTTTCAAATTAGTTAAGAATTTCTTAGTATACCACAGTATAAAATACATGCAGAAAAACTGCATTACCTTACTTTTGGATAGATAGTACTCTAATGTTGTGATTGATTTCAGTCAGTTTAACAGAGTGTGTATATGTGAATGAGTGTGTATATATGTGAATGAGAGACAGAGACAGAGACAGATGAAGATAGAGATAGTGGCAGGGGGAGGCTTTGGTCAAAAATATGAAAGATTGGGATTAACAGGAATAAGTTTGGTTCATTATAGCTCTTATTTCAAATAATCAAAAGCTTAAATTTTTGTTGAAATTTCTGGGAAGTTCTTTAGAATAGGTTATTAGAGATTTACAATAGATCCTCTGTGGTATCTTACCACCTTTTAGTTTGAGATACTGTTTTACTGTTTGATATATATAATTCAAAAAAGCCCAAACAAAATATAACCAAACATTTCAGTCCTAAAATCCTTTAAATAAAGGCATCCTGTGGTTTAAAGACAAGAATAGTTTGAAACCAATACTTACTCATTCTTCAAATATTTACAAGTATGTAAAAGATACCACATACTGGGCTCTCAGATTACAAAGTTGAGTAAGACACACTCTATCACCCTAAAGACTTTAAATTAGTTCTCTACCAAATAGCAATACCTGGGGGTCAAGCAAATACCACAATCATCCATGTAATTTTTTCAGAAAGTCTATGTACTTTTTATGTAAAATCTCCTAATTTTAGAAGTACTAATATCTACTTTTTTTTTCCCATCTAAAATACAGTGTACGCACACTATCTCTGTTGGCCAGATTCAGCCTTGGGCCACCAGTTCATTTGCAACCTTTGGGATAGTTGGAGGAATCTAAGGGTAAGGTAAACAACACCTCACATAAAAAGAATGAGAAAAACAATTAAAGAAACAATCACTCACCTTCTTACAACTTCCTTCCATCCTTCTTCCCTTTTTTGTCCACGCTTAGGACTTGCTACTGTTAACTTCCCATTTGGAGAGGAAAGGGGAGATGGACCAGATTTTGTGCAAGTAGACAGAGAATTACTGGTTACTTCATTGATAGTCTCTGACAATCTTTAACAGAGGGAGGAAAATACATTAAATATAGAACAAATGTAGAATTTTAAATGAAAGAGGCAATCTATTACATAATTTTATTCTTTTATTTATTCTTGGATAAATATAGTAAACAAATGAGTAACTTATTTCTCACTTTTCAATATTTAGCATAACATGAAGAGTCAATTAGAGGTCAAAATTAGCAGAGCTGAATTATAGTAATAACCCCTAAGAAATCATAATCAATACTTTTCATGGGCTAAAATTTAACAACCAAAATAAAGAAGTTACATAGTAAAAATAATTTTATCTTTCATTTTTAACACAAAACTTCAAAAATAGCCTATTATTCCATTAAAATGAAATTGTGACTTCTTTAGCACAAAGACAACCCTTGTTTTGCCAGTTGTTAATTTGCCTTTTTTTACTGAAAAATTCAGCAACAAAGAATTTCATGATGATACTGTAAATAATAAAAATGAAGATTGGAACTAACTTTATTGAAGCCTTGCCAGAAACAGATTTTCTCTCTTCCTTTGGAAATGTAACCAGAACTGATGGCTGCTTCTTGCTGGTCATAGTGGTGGTCACCACAGCAGGTGAATGATTGTCACTCTTTCGGCTGCTGTTGCTGTTACTACTTTCATCACTGCAGCTGGAAATCCTCATGTTATCACTGTCCCCACTCTCGCTGGTACTGCTGCTCTTGGACTCTCCATTGACCTTCTCTGGCTGACTATATGAGATTGGTAGTGGATCATCAAATATAATCTGAACATTTTCTGGAGTAATTTTATTTTTCCTGTTTTTCCTCTTTGAACTGGTTGTAGTTATGGTGTTATTTCTTTTACCATGGGAACCTGCCAAAGTTGTCCAGGTTGCAGATATACCTATGGTAGTAGTGGTTGTGGCACTTGGAGGCTCTGTCAAGACTTCAGGCTCATCTGTAAAAGTAGCAACACCAGCAATACCAAATTAGCAAGTTCTAAGCGTTTTTAGAGTATATTTAGCTTCAAGCACTTGAAGAACAATAAAGTCAGGAGTTACTTTGCAACTATTATCAATCATTCCAGCATTCATTAGTAATGAGACGGATATGACATCTATTCTCCTCTCTGTGCTCAAGTCCTAAACAATGTATAGTAGGCAGTTATAAAAAATATTTTGGGGACGATTTGGGAAATATGAATATGTACTGTATATTACATATATTATTAAATTTTATGGGTGTAATGTTACTGTGGTTACATAAAATAATGTTCTTTTTCTGGGAAATACATATTTAAGTATTTAGTGCTGATACTGCATGGGGTGTCCAACTTACATGTAATCTGTTCAAAAAAAGAGGAAAAAAGATAAACTAAATTAATGTGCCAAAATGTTATAGGAATCTAGGTGACAGACAGGAGTTCATCATACTATTCCATAAACTTTTCTATAGTTTGGACATTTTCAAAATCAAAAGGCTGGAGGAGAGGGAAATTACACACAAACACACACACACATTGCATATATATTTGGTGGTTTAAAAGCAATGGTTTCTCCTCACAATATCTTCATATCAAATAATTGTTTAGTTAGAATCTAGTTAAAAAATTCCCTCATTTTGAGAAAAAATCTAAATATGGTTAGAGTAACAAATGATATTATGGAATTACTCTTAATTTTTTAGGTATTATAAAAGGTATTGTGATTATGTAAGCACATGTCATTCCTAGGATACGTGTTGAAGTTTTATAGGTGCAATGTCAGAATGTCTGCAACTTACTTTTAGACAGCTTAGAAATAATATACATATATATTTAGAGAGAAAAAAATAAAGCAAATATGGTAAAATGTTTATTTTAAAAATCTAGGTGGAGGGTATTGAGGTATTCATTTTATCATTCTTTCAACTTGTCTGTAGCTTTGAAATTCTTCAAAATAGGGGCGCCTGGGTGGCTCAGTTGTTAAGTGTCTGCCTTCAGCTCATGTCATGATCCCAGGGTCCTGGGATCAAGCCCCACATCAGGCTCCCTGCTCCACAGGAAGTCTGCTTCTCCCTCTCCCACTCCCCCTGCTTGTGTTCCTGCTCTCGCTGTCTCTTTCTCTGTCAAATAAATAAATAAACTCTTAAAAAAAAAGAAATTCTTCAAAATAAAAAGCTAGGGAGAAGTCAATAAATGAAAACAGTGGATAAGTACTTCAAGGGCTTAATGACTTAGAAATCTACTTTTACCTTAAGTTATTGATATTTAAGGAAATATAATTTTGAATACAATGTATTACATGAATCAAATTAGATGGTAATTTAGAGAAAATACCTTCAACTTTATGTTTTTCTTTTTCTTGAGCAGCTTGGAGTTCAAAGTTCTCTTTATTTTTGGCTTCAATTTCTTCTAGTTTTCTTCTTTGTTCTTCCTTTTTCTTTCGTCTCTTTTCCTTTCTCTTTTCTCTTTTGGCAGCCAAAGCCAACCTCCGGCTTTCTTCTCTTAACTGTTAAAGGATTGATAAAACAGATTTACCTTGTAAAAAAAAGTTTTCACATAATGTCATTTTATCATAAGGGAACTAGAATACCATAAAATTCGAAGTCATCTAGTTCAATTTATTGTTTAATCAAGATCATAGTCAAATCACTGTAAAGAGAAAATAATATTTTTAAATGTCAAGATCAAATTAATGATAAAAAACAATCTAATTTTAAAACGGAAGAATGATACATAGCTTCTTAATCACTGAATAAATGTAAATTAAAATAAGTTACCCTGTTTTGTTCATTAATTCTGCAAAATTAAAAAAGATATCATATATCAACAGAAGTTCGGGCAAATAAGTTCCTTCCCATACTCCTGTGGGTATAAATATTTATATTTTAGGAAAGGTAATTTGAAAGCCTCCTATGAAAATTACAAACTGTTTATCCTAAGAATTTATAAAATGACCATAGTGAAAAAATAATTTCCACTGCAAAACTGATTATAATGGCAAGTGGAAACAGGTAAATCCATCAATGCCAAGGGTAGGGGGAATAAATTAACAACAGTATACGCTCATAAAATACGAGGCAGCCATTAAAAGTGTTATATACTTGGTAATATGCTCCCAAATTACACTGGTTAGAAGAAAAGAATACACACCGCAGACCGATGATCCCCCTTATTGGGAAAGGAACCCTTTATGCGGCTCTATTTGTAGAAATAGAGAAAAAAGGTGAAGAGGATACAAATCAAAGCTACTGACTAGAGTGGGGGATTGGAAGAAGGGTAGCAGAAAGATGGTGGCTTTCAATTTTACTTAATATAAGTTGTTCATTGTTTCTATTTGTGAAAATGGTTACTTTCATAGTCAAAAAATTAAGAATAAGTTTAAAAGTATAACATCTCTTAAAAGTGATGTTAACTATTAAATTTTCCTTTGATTCATAAAGTAAGAAAATCATCTTCAAATGCTTTCATTTCCATGTCCTCTATTAAATTTTCCTTTGATTCATAAAGTAAGAAAATCATCTTCAAATGCTTTCCTTTCCATGTCCTCTAAAAGACGTTTTCAAACTATGTACTTCCTGCCCATAATCCAGTGTTCTGTGTATTATGTGTGTGTGTATTTTAAATATATGTATCAAAACAATGACACATAGTTTATGGAAAATGTCACAATATCCTAACTAATGAAACCAGAGCTCAAATATGGGCTCAAAAGGCAAATCAGACTTTGTTTCATTTTTTAAGATTTTTTAAGTTTTTGCTTTTGCTAGACATTCCTGCCTTTTCAAATTATCCCTGTTAGATACCTGAAAGGTTTTGTCCACCTTGAAAGCTTTTACACCCTGGGGCAGTGCACCATAATTACATTCTTTTGGATGAGAGAAAAATCTTTTGTTCCTGAAAAGGGTAATAATTAAAGAGAATCTGTAGAACACTGATACTTTCTCAGGCAGAGGGATTTCAGGAAAGAATACAAATGGGAAGTTAAAGATCTAAACATTGTCTGCATGGTAGCCCTAGAAAGTTTTGCTAGTCCTCCAGAAGTAGACAAATTCCAGTCTGAAGACCAGTAAAAGAGCAGCTTTTCACCTTGCAGAAGGACTGAGAAGAAAACTGGTGACCTTCACTCCCTTACACAGGAAGAGGAATAATATCTGACTGAAGCGTTTCAAAGAAGGAAGTAAGCATATGTGACTCTGCTCACTGGGCCTTGCTTAAATGGAGCTAGCTGCCTGCCCTCAGGAAACGTGCTTTCTATCTCTGAACTCCAGTGACGTTGTCCTGTCTGGATCTGACTTTGATGAAATGAACAGGTTAAGTGGAAGGGAAAGAGAAGGGTCTGTAGAAGTGGGGTGAAGGGTATGCCAAGAAAAATATTTTCAAAGCAACTGTGGCCAAATAAAACATTTTATCTAAATCATGTCTGTGGGGACAGAAAAGCCTTAGGAAAGGTATACAGGGGATCAGAATAACAAGTGAAGTTTAAGACTTTTGGTTAAACCATGGGGTGCCTGGGTGGCTCAGTTGGTTAAGCGACTGCCTTTGGCTCAGGTCATGATCTCAGGGTCCTGGGACTGAGCCCCGCATCGGGTTCCCTGCTTGGCGGGAAGCCTGCTTCTCCCTTTCCCACTCCCCCTGCTTGTGTTCCCTCTCTCGCTATCTCTCTCTGTGTCAAATAAATAAATAAAATCTTAAAAAAAAAAAAAAAAAAGACTTTTGGTTAAACCAGGACGGATTTTTAGATTTGCTGGATTTTTTGGTCTGGTGGTAGGAGGTCACTATGACTGCTATCAAGGGGGAAAAGAACTATTTTAAGAATAGAAAAACTTAAATCAGAAAGCAGACCCATTTGGCCTAGATGTGGGTGGGGGTGATGGGCTAAGGTAGGTCTTAGTTTGTAGGTGCAGCTGGGTCTTAGGCATGCAAGTACCCTCAGGCCTTAGAGAGTTCCATCAGTGGAGGCTGGTCCTTTGACAATAATAAGTTTGGATTATCAGACTCATACTATTATGAGTTCAGTCCTAAAGGCAAGGTATTTACTCTCTAAATCTTAAAGTTCTATGGCTAGTATTTGGGTAATCCCACAGATGTACTAACCCTTTCAACTCACTAAAAAGTGGAACACAAATTCAGAGGTCCTAAGAAAACGCTTTCTGAAGGACAGATCTCAGACTATGGCTGTAAAAGAACCTACAAAGGCATGAAGGTCTCTAAAAAAAATTAGGCAGAATTAAAAATATAGATACACATTTATTAAGAGGCATCATAAGTTTGCAGGTGGTATATAAAACTAACAATTAGATGAGATCACCAAAGGGAAAAAGTTATTAACTATATGAATGTGTATTTATGTGTGTGTATTATATATGTAGGAGGGAGATATCCAAAGGAAGAGCAAATGAGACTTTAGGAAGGCATAATCAGATAGAGGAAGACAATCAAGAGAAGATGGCTTCAGTGAGAAGAGTTTTATGGAGGAAAGTGATCAACACTGATAAGTTTCATTAAGTATCAGTAAGAACTGAAAAGAGGTAATAAAATTTGGCAGTTAAGATGCCATTGGTGATCCCTTTATAGTTAGTTCACTGGAGTAGTGGAGGAGTAGGCAAGTGATCCTGGGCTGAGGACTATAAATTTTAAAAGTAGAGTCAACAAGACATAGATTATTCTCTTAAAATATCTGGAGAAGGAAAGCAAAATACTAAGTCTGAGGTAAAGTCTCATTATAATAGTTACCTTGATTAAGTTGTAGGCAGAGGGTAGGAGTTAGTGAAACTGCAGACACTAAAGATAAAAGAATATGCGGGAGGTGGTAACAACTGATACTAAGATCCCAAAGAGAACAGATGAAAGCAGAATAAACCATGAAGATTCAAGGAAGTCTGGAGGTACAGAAAACAGGGTTAGAAATTCAGTCTACATCCTCTATTTTTTCATGGTACAAACCTAGACCTCATTTCACTTACTGGGGAACTGCTATATGTTTCTGAGTATATATGGGGGAAGGTAGAGGCTTTGAAGAAAAGAGTCAAGTTGTAGAATAACCTCACTGTGGAAAAGGAAAAGGCCCTAACTCAACTGGTGATTTCTAATTGAGGTTTCAGGAAACAAAGTGATCTTTGAGAGTTAAGCTTTTTAAGATGAGAATTTTAGAATCTGGGGAGAGGCAGTCCAGACTAAAGAAATACCATCTGCAAATTTACATATATGAAAGTAAACGAGATAATGCAAGCAGGAGAAAACCATAATGAGTGATGAGCCTGGAGAAGTAGTAAGCTAGGAGGACCTGAATGTTTGGCTTTTCCCATGCAGACAATGAAGAGAGACTGAAAGTTTTTGAGGAGGGTGTAAGGTAATCCCACCTGTGTATAAGAAAACTATGGGAACTGTGGAAAAGTTACATTGGAATGGAGAAGGATTAAAATGAAGGCAAAAGGTGACAGAGACAAAAATATTTATTTATATAGGGAGACCATTAAGAAGCCCACTGCAATACTTGAGGTGAGGAATGGTAACTGAGAGGAGAGGATGGAACAGAGGCTCATAGAGTGACTGCCAGAGCTCAATTAAAGGTAACGATGATGATGACAATGATGTGGTTTAATATGTGGAGGGTTTAAATGTGCCAGGCACTGGATTAAGTTAATTTACTGCATGAATTCATTTGATGGATATAGGGAATGGAATGAGCAGCTGAAAGTGATAGCAAGATTTCATTACTGACTCATGAGTAGTGATACCAATAACAGAAAAAGAGGTCAGGGAGGATCAGGGGAAGGGAAGGGCCGGATCCAACAAAAATTAATTGGTAATTTGCTATGTACTAAACATGGTTCTAGTCTTGGAACTAATCAGTAGACTAGATAAAATATCCCTACCCTCATGAAGCTTATAAAGTAACATTTAGTTGGGTGGGAGGGGAGGCACACAGATGACAAACATAATAAATACATTACACAGTTTTCAAAAAGGTGTTAAGTACAATATAAGATACTAGAGAAGAGGAAGAGAAGTGTGTATATGGGGACAGGTAAGGGGTTTTGATTTTGGAGTGGTTTTTTTTTTTTTTTTTGAGAGAGAGTGAGGAGGTGGGGTGGGGTGGGGGCAGAGGGAGAGGGAGAAAGAACTTAACCAGGCTCACCGCCCAGCACCGAGCCCGACACAGGGCCTGATCTTATGACCTGGAGATCATGACCTGAGCTAAAAAATCAAGAGTTGGATGTTTAACTGACTGAGCCACCCAGGAGTCCCAAGGGGTTTGATTTTTTTTTTTTAAAGATTTTATTTATTTATTTGACAGAGAGAGACACAGTGAGAGAGGGAACACAAGCAGGGGGAGTGGGAGAGGGAGAAGCAGGCTTCCCGCGGAGCAGGGAGCCTGATGTGGGGCTCAATCCCAGGACCCTGGGATCATAACCTGAGCTGAAGGCAGACGCTTAACGACTGAGCCACCCAGGCGCCTTAAGGGGTTTCGATTTTAAACAGGGTGATCAGTGTAAGCCTCATGAA